TGGCAGGTCCGCATCAGGACCACACCACCACCTGGAGTTCAACCTCAGATGTGCACATAATGTGAAATCAACACACCGACAAATAACATTGTCTGCGAAACACCTTTAAAATTAAGAAATGACCCAAAATGCCAACATATTATATAAAAACAAAAATTTAAAACCTGTACGGTCCCGTCTGTCAGAGTCTATCCAGCGACGCGTTGTGTAATGTGGACAGTAATACTGTGTGCACCTGTTACAGATTTGTTGTTCATTACATTGAGTGTTTGTCTGTGTACGTCAGATAATCACACTTTGTGCCCAATGTTCTCCCGTCTCTCAGCTTTTTGCCACCAAGGCTCAGAGTCTGCTGCTCATGACCTCAGTGGCCATGCCGGTCTTCAGCAAGAAGAAGGAGACGGTCAGTGTCAGCTCTGATACACGTCAGCCTGACGATCTGTACAGTCAATGAAAACAGAAACAAATCGATAAATAGTTCAGATGACTTGTCATGCCGTGCATTTACTATGGAAAATGTGAAAGAGAGCAAATATTTTGTACTTTTGAACTCTAAAAACTGCTGCAGAAATAGCCTGCTGTTGAAACTGCATATCTTTTGTTATATTAAAATTGCACAGGCATTAAAAGTGTAGTTAAACGTCTTCACAGTGACAGAAAAGGAAGTTTCACTGGGACTGAATGTAAAAAGAGCTTCATCCTTGCTCTGAAAGAAGCACAAACCAAAAGGCCGGTGCTTGATTATAACGTTTGACTGTGCGTCTGTCTCCAGCTGTCACATGGCATCCTGCTCGGCGTGGTCGGCTCCGACATCCCGCTGGTGGAGGTGATGAAGCTGGCACCCCGATACATGGTGAGCTCTGGGCGGTTTACTCTGTTTCTGCTTTATTTTATTTCCAAAATAAACGCTTTAAATATTTTCTGCTCTCCTCTCAGCTGGGAGCTCACGGCTACGCCTTCCTCATCAACAACAACGGCTACATCCTGTCTCACCCCGACCTTCGACCTCTGGTGAGCTGTGTTTCGAGGCCGCTTTGGAAAACACATTTAGCTCACGGGCTCCGTGGCAGCTGCTCTGATTTACTTGAGCTAAATTTAAAGCAATGAAAGTTTAGCAAATCTCCTGAAGGGTGCATTAAGAAGAAACGGTATCAAATATTTATGAGAAGGGTTGTACAGTATTACACACACACACACACACACACACACACACTCAGTAACAGGGCCTCTTCTGTCCTGCAGTACAAAGACGGAAAGAAACTGAAGCCGAAGCCAAACTACAACAGTGTGGATCTGTCAGAGGTGGAGTGGGAGGACACAGACGAGCTGGTAAACACAAACAGATTATTTCAGGACACAATTATTGATGGGTTTGTTCGGATATCATCATGTGAACGTCAAAAGTTCCAAAAGCAGGAAAAGGGAAACATCAATAATGTCACACGTGCAGCATATTTTCAACTCCGTAACATCAATCGCC